GATTCAATCTACATTTTCTTTTTCCTTTTTCATTCTACTCCTCTTTCACGTAGTCACTGCATGGCTGATGCAGAGTTCATATATTCCAATTCACTTCTGCCGTCGTTTTACATTGCCATCCATTAATAATAACTTTCATAATTATAATAAACTTTCGAAAAAGAGTAAAAAATGGAAGCCGCTAGCTGGACAAGCCGTGGTCTACCTGATCCGATAATCAATGACTTTCGTTTTACATTTCAGTTCCTGATCAGGAAAAAATCTATGCTCTGACCATGGGAGCAGTGATTGATCATGAAGTCAGTGTTTTGCTTAGTAAAAGTGTGAATGTCCATATTTTTTCTTTTTTCTCCGTTATACACTATGTTCGTTAAAGTGAAAAGAGAAGAACAAGAAAAATATATTGTATTCAAGGTGTAAGTTATATATATTCTCCCAACGTGATTATATCTATACTATCTATACAGCAGATATGTGTGTGACAGAACCCTCTGTGTTTTTATACCAATTTTCTTATTTGCGAAGTGTCTGTTATACACTACATACACTACTTGTTTTAACGTGTTCGAATATCACTTAACTTATACTATTTGCTGTCAGAGTGGAATTAGATCTGAAAATAAGCGATCCACAAGGTACTGACTATTTTGCAGTTTCACCTAGTTATAGGATCAAGAACGACGCTGTCTCAAAAAATGCCTCAGTTAAACATGTTCACTATATAAAATCTCGAAATAATAAGAAAAATTTGTATAAAGATTGATGTCATGGCTATTGCGAATATCTTCGGTGTAAGATCACTTTGTCGTTAATGGCTTTCAGGTGAGGGTGAGTATCTTCGGTCCTGTCTGATGCATAGAGGACGGTGATGGACACAAAGCTTCTCATTCATCGGATGCTAGATTGACTGCAGTGACAAACTGATATTAGCGCTAAAGTATCTACCGATATACAGTCTCTGAAAATCCGAACGTGAATGTTTTCTTCACATACGGCAAACGTTATCTTATTAGTAATACTCACAGGTGAGTCAGAAGACATCAACCTCTTGCACCTTTATTTTGATGTCAAATTCTAGTCACAAGTCGAACTAGAATTCAGACATCCATGAAGAGGGATAGAAAATTTTACCAGAGATAAAATTTTTGTTCATCAAAATTGTCATAGCTTCGTATTAACTTAAACAGAGAGTTGGAAAGGAAAGGAGAAAAAACCAATGAGAAAAAAAGACTACTGCGCGTGACAAACTTTGGTTCATAGAAGAATTACGAAATATGCGTAGGAGGTCTGTCAACTGATACAGTGAAACTCTATAGTATAAACATGAACTCATAGTATCGACTTGTCATACCAATATCCCACACAAATACACTTTCACGTTTTCACAGTATCACCGTATCATAGCATGACTTTCATAGCTTCATAGTATCACAGTATGACTTTCATAGTTTCATATACAAGATGTAACAACATTTTATATTTAATGAATCAGTATAAGAACAAATTTCAAACTACCGTTTTAGATCAAAAATACTTTTAAGTACTCTTTTCTCCACATGCAAACAATGATTCAACTTGTGTTTGATATAGAAAAATAGTTTGATATACTTTACACTAGTAGAACCCAATGCATCTATTAATACTGTGTTAAATGGTTTCCATGCAAGCATTGAGTTCACATTTGAAATGGAAGTTGATAATTCTCTATCCTTTTTCAACTTTCATGTTATAAGAAGCGTTTCTCGGTATTCAACAACTATCTACAGGAAATCTACTTTCACAAGTCTAATTATAAGATGGCAATCATATGTACCGCTATCCTATAAGCGATCAGTTATTACTGGGACGATTCATCGAGCACTTCATATATGTTCTACATGTATTTTGCTAGAGGATGAATTGAATAATATTAGAGAAATAGCAAAGAAAAATGGCTATTTTGATAGTTTAAGTTTCAGAATGATATAAAGAGAATTTATATTCTTGATTTCGTTCTGGTTTGAGAGTAAAGATTAAGCTTAAACCAAAAACAAAACACAAAACTCACAACAAAAGAATATACATTGACGGATAACATCGAGCCATTGCAAAACTTCAGTCATTGTGCAGAATATAGGAAAGAACAGCGAATTTGATTTACTATAGTTGATAGAGTATTTCTTTTTTGCACATATTTCAAATCAGTTTCTTTATATTCTATTTTCCTTCCTACTTATTGTTAAGGTTATTCAATAACTTAACACGATGAACTAGTAGTTCATCGTTTCCACAACATGTACCGTCTTCTTTTTCGTTTATACTTCCAATATATACATATATATTTTATTTCCACTTTTCTATTCAAAAGAACTTATATATAACGTATATCTCTATTTTTTTTCTCTGCAATGTTGACCCATGCTAAATTAACGTGAAACTCATATTTTCAATTTTATTTTATGATAAACATCACTCTTGTTGTTATGTGTCTTCTCTTGATAATGAGAACTGTATTCTCGAAACGTCGATAAATAAAATTTTAAAAAACTAAAAGTTAAAATAATGAAAATCCAACATACTGCCGTATTACTAATCTTCGTTCTTATACTATTTACAAGGATACCACGAATCTCGGATAGGGGTGGCAGTATTACTATTACTCATGTATTACATTACCGAGGAAAGTAATACTAAAAGGTATATATTACTGTTACTGGTAGCATTAATCTTCCAGACATTTCTATTACTAATAACAGTAATACTGAACAGTATTACTTTCAAAAACACTGTCAATAATACCAGGAAATAGAACAAATATTTCTGATAAAAAATCAGCTCTGTCAGATATCTGTCAGCTCTGAATGATGTTCGAAACAAGAGTTATGAGAGTTTTGTTGGAAGAAAACACGTATCAAATACTGGTGCTACCATTTCGTAGATGCAAGTTTTTTCGGTAATGAAACATCGCAGATAGCTCGAGAAGGTCTTAGATTGAAGCTGACACATGTGACTAGAGGCTAACAGAGCTCGGCTTTTCATATTCGATCTGGATTTGTGGTTAGAAAAACATCTTTATGCAAGTTATTGAGACGTTTTTGAACTTTAGACTTATGACGCTGATCATTAATTTGAAAAGTAAAATATCAATTCCTGCGGTATAATGCATACCACTATTTAATGTTAACCGATATGAAATATTGTTTACTGTTAGTGTAATATGCTCTTTGAGATACCCTGATATGTAACTGTGTATAAAACGAAAGACGAATATCAGTCTCATTTGTAAACAATGTGTTCGAACGGACAGCTAGTGAAGATCACTTAGAGCAAGTGTTGCTAATGTTCTGCTTATTAATTCAATTATTTATCTTCCTTACCACGTTTTTAAATAAGTTTGCGAATGTTGGGATTAATTGTTAGTGAATAGACGGTAGCAATAATTGTCCACCCGTTCAATAATCATTTGTACAATGTCATTAGTCGGATCAAAGATTTTAATCTCTAGCAAGAGTTAACATCATGCCATATTCATACAGAATATTATTCCAAGGTAACTTACACTCATCAGTCTGACGCAAAGCAGCGATATTTTAAATGCTTAGCGATGAAATAAGGTTTTGAAAATACAGATTTGCACTTTTTACGATAGAATATCAACACCGACGTCTCAGTGAACTTTTGTAAATCTCGATTTAATAAATCCATTGACATTTCATACTACCGTCGTCCTCGAATAAATATGTATAGTGCTGTTCGAAAGTATAGAATCACCTACTACATGGAACTTTAAAAAAGTGGCCAGTGTAAAAGACTGCGTTACTAGAATATGTTTTAAGATGAAGTGCATAAAATTGAGTGTGCTCTTTTGAAATATATAGTCAAAGGTTTATTAGCTTATGGGGAGTTAGAACCTCACTGCAAAAAATAGTGTGCAACTTGTATTCATCAACACTACAACGCACTGCTATCCAACTCAAATCTTCATCCTTAATGTAACATAAAATGTTAAGTGTTCTATAGTGTTTGTTACTGATTAACGTATATTCCAATCGTTTATCACCAATAAAATTTCGGAATTGCATTCACATTTGTATAAAAACAAATACCTTCTCCACTATCGTCACATTTAATTTCAGTGAAGAGCGGATGTTGTTGGCGTATTTGATTTATATCAGGAATAATTCTAGGCTTTCTATCCATTTTAAAATAACAATCAAATTGGAATAATTTTAATAAGTTTGCTGATAATACATGTTGCCATCGATTAAAATTTAAATGTTCATTATCAAATGCTTTAACAAATAAATAGTTTAAATTTGGTAAATAAGATGCTATATATTCAAATTCATAAAAATGCATTTGATATTTATGAATTACTAGTTTTAATGTAGTTAACTTTCTAGATATTATAGATGGTAAATGTTTTAGTGTTACTGTTGCTAAAGTTTCATCTTTGATAATACCAACAGATAAATATTTTAATTTTTCTAAATATTTGATAATTAAATATAAATCATTTTTATTACATTTGGCAATTGTAAGCGACTGAATATTTGATGTTGATGTTATTATTGTTTTTATTTCATTGATATATGATAAATGACATTTTTTTAAGAAATAAAACTGACCTGAGAAGAGTAATCGACATAAATGTTCATACTCTTTTGAAGAACATGGTGAATATTGAATGCATAGACATGTTAAATATTTAAATATTGTTGGTTTTATTTGTTTTAATTGATCGGATGATGGATAATGAATTATTAATGTACGTACATTAATAAATTGATTGATATTAGGAATTAATGGACAATATTGACGAATGTAATATATTTGATGATGTAATTCTGATATACTTTGCTCGTATAAACGTTTATACACATTTTGCGAAATATCAGATGATAAATCAATAGATAGTTTAACATCAGCCAATATTAAATTGATTCTAGAATTTAAATTGTACCAGGAATAGTATAAATCAACTACTGAAATATATTGAAATATTTCAAGAAATATCTCAATAGGAAATATTTTATCCATCTGAAAGAAAAATCGGTAACAGCATTTCTTTTTAATTACATTAAATCCCTTTGTACTTTTGAAAACGATAGTAGAAATTACACGAACGATTCGGTCGCACGTGGAAGGGGATGCTGAACTGATGAAACAACTACTTAACGTCAATTCACTCAACACACCTATAACCAAGAAATGATTTGTGATCAGAAATATCTCTTCCACAGGCTGACAGGCTCGAACAGAGGAACTTTAGATCACAAGAAAAAGTTCATCATCAGTCTCTTTCTGTGTTTTACAATACTCTAGCGCTAATATTATATACTTCTCAACTGTAAATCATGAATTAGTTTTTAGCAATATCACCTTGTGGGGGACCGTCACAAGTTGGAAAATACTTATTCGATGAAATGAAGGGGAGTGTAACCAATCGATCGTGCTGATCCTGAATATAATAGTCGCAACTGTCCTTAGACTAAGCCGCGATTTTCAGAAAACTGCTTTTCCAAAATCAAAAATTTTTCTCAAAATTCATTTCTGATACGCTCAGATTATAGAGCATATCTATTATCGATGGAGAAAATATTTTTGATCATCGGTCATTTCCTCGATTTATAAACATTTTGAAAAAATCTGGACAGCTGGTACATGGCAGAGAAAGGAAAAACAGCAACAACAGACTCTTTCACGTGCGTACTTTTCTTCAATACAACAGATTTTTTTAAAAGTGTTCATAAATCGATCGGGACACAACCAATGATCAGCAATATACAGCGACTAAGAATAGCTACTTTCTACTCATCGTGTATAAAAGAAGCAGTATCGGAAATAGAATTGTTTTAATTTTTAAGAATTTGATATGGGAAACGTATCAGAGCTATTGCAATTAGGGATCTGCACGGGCGGCCCGTGCACACCGACCGTCAATACTGTCCGATATCTTGCAATTTGAGATATCTTAGAAAGTGCTCGGGATACTAGTGAAACAGACGAGATATCCGCGTGCTATGAGAAATTCGTATGTATTAGTCGCGATATTACTGAAATACAGGAAATATTAGTACACTTCATGAGATATTAGTCGTACAGGAGATAGTAGTCTATTATCTGATATATTGGTACATTGCACGAGATATCAGTGAAATACAATTGTTTGAAGTGAAAAGGGACGAGTGGAAAGCGATATCAGAGTGAATTCAATTTAATACTGTATTTTTCCCACCGATTACAACGAATCACGCATCGTCCATAGAATATATTTTGTGATTGAAGTCAGCCATTTTGTGCCGCTCCTAGTTGTAGCCAAAAAAACCAACGAAATAAACAATCCATGGCTAACGTTAAGAACTCCTCACTTTCCAATTTTAAAATCTAAATCAGCCTCAGCGAAGGCGGGCGGGGTGTGTGTCATAAGAGTGAGACATCACACAACATTTCGTTCTCCTCTCCCAGGAGAAAATAATCGTTAGAAGCGGCACGAAAACGCGTTTAAATGTTTCATCTGAAACGCGATCTAGAACATTTGAAAACGCGTTTTTCTTTTTTTCAACGCAAAAGTAACGTGTTGCGAAATTCCGAAAAACGCTTTTTCAAACGAATAGATAAAGAAAACCACGTTTAAACGACAAAAAACAGCGTTGGTTTTGAAACATTTAAGGCGTTGTTCGGTTGTTAAAAACGAAAAAACAGCGCGTTTTTTTACCCCTGGGTATATTTATTAATATGCCTACTGTTTCGCTAATATCTCGTCTATTTCACTAATGTCTCTTGTATTTTACGAAAATTCCATCCATTAGATTGATATATCTAATATTGCACTAATATCCCATGTATTTTATTGCTACCCGTTGTTTAGGATGTGGGGATGCGTCTCGACGCCTGCAGCAGAGTCTGTTTTAAGATATAACAGCATCAGTATATTAGTAAAACTGTCTGAGGACAGACGCCTTGGTCTATTTAACCATGTTCTTTGCTCAACACTGACTTTTTGTGGAAAAATTTGTGTTTGTGACAGAGGGAGATCTATTAGTAGGTAGAACAAACAGCCAAAACGAAACGTTGCGATGACCGGAAAGGTGAGTAGAGTAAACTCTCTTCTAGAATAGAAGGTCACCCTGATGAAAAATCGTGGACAGGACCTCAGAAAAAATCGGTAGCAGGGGCCTTCTGTTCTGGGAAGGGCTTTAGTTGAGAGCAGAAGCGGATAATCTGTTAACTCTACTGGGAATTAATAAAACACTTTAAATCAATTGTGCACTTTTCGATCGATTTGTTCCGAGAATACTAGGAATGAACAAATGGAGTTTTTCCACTTGTATAAAGCATATGCGACAAAGTCTAACACTTTATTGAAATACACGAGCTTCGACATACCAGACGGATTGCTTATCAACGATGAGTGTCAACTATCTGAAAATGGCGCCATCGTATTCCTCTACTATGCTGCTAAAAGGTATACTATAGGCATAACAAAGAAGCAATCATCGAAACCTTCAGATTTCTTTTAAAAAAATAAAGTTTTGAATATAGTATAATACTGCTATGAAAATCATAATAAAATTCTTCTGAATTTATTTAAACACTGGAGCTTTCGATCACAACTTAGATCATTT